CATCATTCCCAGCTGCCCTCACTCCTGAAACAGTCATATTCTCACAGCCCCACACAACTCCAGATCTTACTCTTAGATCTTCCATAACCCAGGGACCTTTCAGATATTTGAATTGGTTATGACAGCAGGTTAGGGGAAAGATAATAAAATGTAATGAAATGGCCTAGGGGTAAGACAGACAAAGGTGTCAAACTCAAGACCAGTAGCTTAACGTCACTCAGCATTTTCCCTTGCAGGGAAATGGAATTTCGGCGAGAATAAATTGAATCAGAATACTTAAGGAAAAAATGGCTAGGAATGAGAGATGCAAAGAAAGGTGAAAGAAGAGGTCACTGTGATCAGGGCTGGGGGACAGAGGCTCAAATGTCATTGTACTGGTGTGGGATATGGCTTGCCAGTGACTCATAATGGGCTCAGCAGAGATGTCAAAAGCGATTACATCAGAAAGCAGCAGTTCTTCTGGGGTGGTATATATGCCTATAATTGCAGAACTACAGAGGCAAGGACAGGAGGATCCCAAGTTCAGGGCCAGCCTTACATAATGAACCCTGTCTCAAGAAAAATCCAGTATAGGAGCCTGGTTTCTGGTGTCCATAGGGCAAATGTTATTAAGATCACTCACCAGATTTTCCGACTCAAATGAGAACCTCTAGGCTGTTAATAGGAAACAAACAAAAACTCAAGAAGAATAGATTTTAATAAGTAGTCTAGTGAGGATTGTCTGTATTACTTCACGTGGTAATAAGGTTTACTCCTTTACTGAAAAGAAGAGTTAGGGAAATGCAAAGATCCTAATAGATGTCTGGGATTAAGATGCTAATAGACAAAACATGAAAGGTTATACAGTGACAAAGGTCATCAGAACTCAGGACAGGCAGACTTGAAGGGTGAAAGAGGCACTTAAGAGGACAGCTGAACATTAAACAAGGGCAAAATGTCTCAGGTAGGCACACCACTTCCATTGAAACCATCTGGGGAATAAGGAGTAGGTGACAGCATTCTTACTATGGTTCAGTCAAAGCTCAGGATGTCCTACTGTAGCGCTGGTCTTGGCTGTGTAGGTGTCTCTGTAAGCCAAGTGAAACGGCAGCCACCTTACTATCACGTCTTGAGATTTAGGTATCAGGCCACAATTCCTGGGACTTAGCCTGCTCTCCCCTGTGGCCACCATTTTCATCATCGCTATAGAAAGGGTTTGAGCCAGACACCTCATGGACTACTGAACAGTGTTGTATTATTTTCCTGTGAAAATGATTTGTATTTACTTAAGTTAGAGATGTCAATGCCAGACCAAAGAAAAAATTCTATCCCAACTTCAAGCTTGGTAAATCAATGAGTTTGAGGGTAATTCACAAGAGTATGGATGACTCAGGTAGCTGCATCACCAAAATGGCCCACCCAAGTGTGGGTGATGATTCATGAAATCTGAATCACTGAAGTTCCCATTACAACTTGTAGGTAGGTATATCACTGAGGAGTCTCCTTTCCCCCCAGCAATTGGTTACATCTTACATAACCTCAGGGGGTGGGGCTTCTGAGTCTTGTAAGCCTTGTGAGCTTCCTGAATTTTGTAAATTTCTTATGAATTTGGTGAGTCTCTCCTCTCCTTGCACTAAAGAATGGCTTAATTCAGAGAAAGCAGCTATAGAATACCAGCAAGAGGGGTGTGAGTGACCATGCTGGGCTATCTATCACTCCAAAATAACTCAAGTCTAGTGGGTAGCAGTGGCTATGGTAACAGGATGAAATGACCAGATATGTTTCTGCAAATATCTGCTCAAGAAAGGCAGGGCAAGCACTCAGTTCTTCACAGATATTTCTGCTGATCTGAGACCTTGCCAACAGTTCCACAGAGTTGAAAATACTCTATCTAAGTCAAATATTAATAAAACTGTTACACAGATTGTCTAATATTTAATATCTACTCTACTTTGGACAAAGAAAGAAAAGAAAATGTCATATTGTGCATCTCACAATGGAACTCCTTTAAGTTGTCTATTGGCACCTACCAATGGCAGCTCTTGGGTACCACTGCATCCTCTCAGTCCATCTTTTCATCCCAGCTGTTGTTGTAGCAACTAAATGAACAAGCTGACAGCATCTTCTTTGCTGGTCATTCTGATCCATTGGCAAACCCAGAGTTCAAAGAGATTCATATTCTTGGGAAGACTTTGATCAGTGGGGAATCAATATTCCTTTCTTTGGTCCCTCAGGTGATTTATTCAGTGGTACATTCTGCACAGCTCTCCAAAGAGTCCCCAGCAGTTCACAGTAGCGACTAGTTGAATCACATACCTTAGGAACAATTCTCCTTCTTTCTTTGTTATACATACTACTCTTGCTCCCTGGATCACTTCCCAGAGTGAATTATCTGCATAAAAGTCCTTGTTAAAGGGCTTTTTTTGGGGGGAGGGGGAGATGTGCGGTGGGTAGAAGGCAATCATGCCTTCAAATAAAGATAGTTTTTCTTTAGTCAAAGAGCTTCTATGATCCCAGAAACATGACTCCCTCTTTATGTTGTTGAATGAATGCTTAACTTCATGAGAGCAATACCGTCTACCTCAATTCCAAGTCGTTTTCTGCATCTTCTTTCTATCACAACATACCTGGACAGCTGAAAGAGGATGACAGCAGAGGCTCAGTGCCACATAGCCATGTGTTTCTGTATCTTCAAGTCAGTAACCCCAGCCTTTGGCTAAGTCTTTCACAGAGAGTAGCTGGGAAGATGCCCATTCCCTATCACCCTGAATACAAAATTCAGACAGTGGGCCTATCCAACACCTCCTAATCATTCTGATATGTGCTAATAGTTGAGAATCACACTACAGATCAGTCTATCCATGATGGAAACTAGCTAAGCAGCAATTAGTGCTATTTCAACTAAAATGTAGTTGAAAAGAAAATGGATAATCTCAAAATGAAGATGAAGGGAAATGATAACTGGCTCTCTGCAAAAAAGCACCAAGATGTTATCATGGAGTACAGAAGGATTGCTCATCCAGAATCAAAGTGAAAGGAATGGAAATCTGTTCATTTATTAATTTATTTGGGACATGTTGATGGCTCAAGCACCATAGGAGACACAGAGGAAGAAAAGATGAATAGAAAACAGTGTTTGCTCTCAAGAACAAATGGTACTAGCATTGATCCATTATATGAGAAATAAAGCTGTAAGAACTGTATTTATTTTTTAATCTTTCACCTTTCACTTCATCCTGTTCAAAAGGGAGTTTTCTCCATTTCTCCTGGTTGAATATTCTGGCAAATATGGGACTCTATCAACTATATTTTTATTTATTTGCTTGTTTTAGAGACAGGGTTTCATGTATACCAGGCTGGCCTTAAACTTGCAATGTAGCTGAGGATGACCCTGAATTCCTGATCTTCATGCTTCCACCCTCCAAATGCTGGAATTACAGGTGTGTACCACGATGCCTGTTTTTATTGTATGTACCATGATGCCTGTTTTTATTCAGGGCTTTGTACAGGTTAAGCAAGTACTTCTACCAAGTGAGCTACATTCCTAGCCATTTATCTATCTATCTATCTATCTATCTATCTATCTATCTATCTATCTATCTATCTATCTATCTATCTATCCATCCATCCATCCTATCTATCTATCTATCATCTATCTATCATCTATTATCTATCTATCGATCATCTATCATCTATCTATCTATCTATCTATCTATCTATCTATCTATCTATCTATCTATCATCTATCTATATCTATCTTATTTAAAGCAGGCTCTCTCTATATGTAGCTTAGACTGACTTTCAACTCCACATCTTTCCAAGTGTTGGGAATCTAGGTGTGAGTCACCATGCCCATGCCCACTATTAAATATGAAATGATCCTGTTGTTTTTTTAAGTCACAAATCACAGTCCCAATGTAGTAACTTAGATGGTTAATAAGTACCAGGGAGTAATTGACTCTTTGGGCTTCATTCAAGAGTCCAATTCCTCTCCCCCTCTGTTAGTTTCATTTTCTTTGTGTCTATTACAGAGCTCCAGCCCCAGTTTTACATTTCAAAACATATTTAGAAAAATTAGAAGTTGCAAGGTCTTAACAGTGTCTTTAACTTCTGCATTCAGTTTCTAAGGTTCATATAAATTCATGCATATGAATGTCACTATAAAATCAGAAACTACGGGGCTGGAGAGATGGCTCAGCATTTAAGAGCACTGGCTGCTCTTGCAGAGAACGTGGAGTGGATTCCATTCCCAGCACCCATGTGGTGTCTAACAACCATCCATAACTCCAGTTCCAGGGAAATCCAACTACCTTTTCTGACCTCTGTGGGCATTACATGACACAGATGCACTTACATACATGCAAGAAATATACTCATACACATAAAAATAACAAATAAAATATTTTTTAAATCAGAAACTATATTAATGATTACTAATTCTAAGAGACTTCTTAAATTTCACTTATGTTAACAATAATCAGCTTCATTTTCTAAAATATAGTGTTGAAAATGGTCGTTTATGGATTTAAAATATATCCTGATAAAAATCGACCTTGGGATTCAAAAGCAATGAATGTTTCAAAATGATGATCTCATTTAAAAAGTCATTCAAATAGTACTTAATGGACTGTGAAGCTGTAGTTTTAAATTAATAGGTGTACCTAGTAAAAAGCTTTGCATTTTATAAGGAAAATGAAAGGTCAACCGAAGTATTATAATTATTTGAATAGGTTAAGCATCTTGCTTGTTAATGTCTATTATTTCGACAGACTGTGGCAGGGGATGGGAGCATGGAGCTGTGTCTTATAGCATCCTTACTGTACAATTATAAGTCACTTACCAAGCTCACACTTTTGAGCCCATGATAGATCACACCACCAAAATACACATATCATCTAGGTTTGAGAAAATTTTCATTAAATGCTTTCAAATCTCAATTATATGCCTAATACCAAGTATTGATTTAGCATCCCCAATCCTTGAAAGTCATTACCCAAAGAGAAAAGACAGTAAACATATGGTTTTATTTTTAATTACCCAAGTTTTATTTTTAATTACCCAAGTGTGTTTTGACCTTTGTATGGAAACATAGTGGATGATACAACAGACAGACAAAGACAAGAGCCCTACTCTCAAGAAAAATTAAAATAAGCTGGAGACAGTGCATAAGACAGCAAGACTTAAGGATATTTACTGAGTAGCATTTGAGTAGCACAAGACCACTGAATACAGAGGTAAATCCATACAGGGACAACTATCTCAGACATTACATAAGATAGAGGAGGGCAGAGGAGAACTAGTGAATACATCTTAGAAGCTAGGAAAAGCGTTGAACTTGTGTTCCAGTTAGCCAAACACAAGTGGCTTATTACGGACCTTGTGTGATTAAGTTCCATCTCTGTTGTATTTAGTTTATTCAATTCTAAAATAGAAGGTGAGCTCTAGATAGTATCTATGATCTTCCAGATACAATAAGACAGGATTATAAGGACAATTGCAGAGAACTTGGAAAGGTGAGGTTGTCACAGATAGGAGGAAAGAAAAAATCACAAAACCACAGAGGTGTGAAAAAACTTGGGTGCATGGAGAGGCATGTTGTGAAAGAATAAGAAGTTTAAGCAAGCCTATGTAACTCTTTTAAAGATTCTGAGGGCAGGAAATTTGGAAATGGGTGGGACACCATGCAAACAAGGGGTCAAAATGGGGAAAGAGATAGTCTACATCTTTCATGTCTTCATAGGATTCTACCACAACCCCTTCCCAATGCCTTCATGCCAAGTAGCACGCCAAGTAGAAGACCGTGTTTGCAGATGACTTGTCTTTAGACTCTCACAAGAAGCCTCCTTTTGTAGGCCAGGAAGCCAAGAGCCGTCGCTGAAAAGATGGTGGTCAATCCAAGCAATCTTAACAGGCCTGGCACAGATGGCAAGTGTCTCTCCAGGAAGGTGCTGGTAATAGGCCGTGCAGGGACATCCTGGGTTCACAGAACATTTATGTCAATACAGGGTTGCTCATGCCATTCCAGAAGCATTATATTTCTTCCAGGATCTTTAGAGTAGTTTGTTATTTCCAGCCTCTGGGTTATTAAACATAATATTTCCTCGATAAAATGACTCACCTCCCTCTCTCCCCCAGACCTTTTAGGTCAGTTCCATAGGGACTCTTTCTGCAGCCCAATCCTGAATTAGCCTCACTTTTTACATTTTCCTCTCAGTATGTCCTCTATGTCAGAATTGTACTTTAGGGTTATTATTGATCTTCCCACCTGAATGCATTGCTGTTCCATGACTGCAATGGCCCATGCACAACACATGCATTATAAATGTTTGTTCAGGGGCTAAATCGATGGTCCCCTCAGCCTACCATTCCATCTGTAGCAGAAGCACTAGGACAATGATTCTGGAGTGTCAGAGCTCTTCTCTTTGGCTTAATGTTTCAGAGGATAGAGGAATAACTGACATTTTAATTCTTGTACTTTACAATTCTGTCTTATGCATTGTCCCTCCAAGCCACAAAAATGTTCTAGAATTTTATTACAGAAGAAAGTGTATGGGAAATTAATTTAAATGCGATCCATTTTGTCCATCCCTTTACCTCTGGATAGGAAATAATAAACTTTCTTTTCGTACTTCTTCTTGAGATAAATAGTCATTCAATAGACATTGAGTTTTTATTCCAAGCAATGTTTTTGTCTTTCTCTCTCTATTTCTTTCATTTTTTCTTTCTCTTCCTTTTCTTCCTTACTTGTGGTGCTGGAGCTCAAACCCAGGGCCTTACGCATGCTAAGCAAGCATTCTGCCATTGAGCTATACTTCCATCCCCTTTTGACTTCTTAATAAGTCTAGAACTCTCTGAGAAATATCTCCTTATCATTAAAAATCATATTTTTGTATTAATATAAGGGATTCAGCACTACAAAATTATTAAAGTCCATCTAAATCTGTTATTCCTGTTCTAACTCATGCTATTTAGAAATTCACATGTTGAATCACTTATGGAATGATTGCACCAAAAAGTGTGTTCCTCTTGGTAACAATCATTCTAGAGCAAAGATAAATACATTTATGAAATATAACTTACCACAGACTGTGGTTCTGGCTGCCAGATTTCATCTTCTGGAATCTTCCCTACAGCATGCAGAATCTGAAATGCAGGATCACCATGACAAATAGCAAAATATATACTATCTCTCTTCTACTTTAGAAATAAAGAACTAAGTGAATGTTCCTTGGGATAGCCACCAAAAATACCAAGGTAAAGGTCAGAGTGGTCCAGTTGACCTTTAAAAGTCTACCAAAACTCTTTTAGTTACGGTATAAGATGCTCCAACCATTAGTTTCATTGTAAATTTTAGCATTTGTGAACATGTCTTAATGGAAACGAGATTTAAAAGAATGGTAGAATAAAAAAAAGATAAAAATGAATTCTGAGGCCTAATAGAAACATATATGATTCTATAATATCAGACCTAGATATTATAAAAAGCTTTTTGTAAAGTTTATTTCATTTTTATTTATTATTTTTAATTTTTATGTGTATGGGTGTATTGCCTGCATATGTGTAAGTGCACCTATGTCATGCAATGCCCAAGGAGATCAGAAAAAGGTGCCAGATCCCCTGGAACTGGAGTCATGGATGGTTGTCAGCCACCATGTGGGTGCTGAAATCTAAACCTGGGTCCTCTGCTAGACTGGTCAATGTTCTTAACTGCTGAGCCACATCTGTAGCCCCCTTAAAAGGTTTATTTTATTTTTAATTATGTACCTGTGTGTGAGTATATGCACATTCAAACTTAGGTGCTCTAAAAGAGCAGGACGCTTTACGTACAGCTACATGGGTTCCCCCCACCCCACCTTTTGGTGAAATATTAGATATTTTCATTATTCTCTTTGGTTAAGGCTTTCCCTTCACCTAAAACTGCTGTCATGATGGTGTTTCCTGGGTCTTCAAATTGGAAGTATGAGGGGAAGATTGCTGCCAAAATCTCAGGCATCTTTGGGCTGCTTATTAAGCCGTTGAGTGCCTCCTTCCTCCCTGCCTATGACCTTGGGCCCTACCTCTCGGGCTGCCCTCTCGCCGGCCTCCACAGCCCCCTCCATGTAGCCACTCCAGTGTGTAGCAGTCTCAGTGCCTGCAAAGAAAATCCTGCCCACTGGCTGACGTAGAACCCTGGGAAGAAAAGCAAAGTAGTAAATATCATTGCTCTCAGATAGCCATATATGAGATTTCTCAAGAGGATCAGGCAAGGCCAGTTCCCCAGGTTCAAAACTTCCAGAGGATATTGGCAACATGGAATAATGTTCCTTAGGTTTCTCCAACCCTTCTATCATCTTTGTCACTAGCACAATGAAACAAAAGCTCAAATGTTTATACTCCTGTGTTAAGAGCCATCAGGGAAAGGAGCTGACATCAGTGGGGGCAAAGTACATATTTGCTTCACACTTATGAAGTGAGACACTGCATGAGCATAGTAATCCAGTCATCTGTGGGTCCTTTACATGGGGAAGTGACATGTGTCTCTAATTTCTCACCTAGTTATTCCACCAATGAACAGGACAATTTCTTCTCAAGAAGCTCTATCTTCCACACATTTTTATTTTTTATCTTTTGGTTGTTTGCTTTGTCTTATTCTTGTCCCACTGGAGACCAAGCATAAAGTTTTCTGCATGCTAGGCATGTGCTCTACTGCTGAACTACAACCCCAACCCTTACCAACCTCTTAAAAGGGATGGTCTTGTGATTTCTAAGATGGTTAGCATCAGTGACCATGAGCAGTAAAAAGAGTCTTATGGCTGGCTCATAACTACCATCCACTGAGCACATGAGTCAACTAGGTTTCAGCATTACTGAGTCAAATTATAACAGTTAAAATTTGTTGGGTACCAGCTCTTCAAATTGAATAACTCTTCCCCCAACCTCAATAATATTACTACCCATATTTTTCAGATGATAATATAGAGGTAGACTTTGATGGCTATTGTGATGTGCCATCAAGAATGTAGGACTTGTCCATTGCTGGAAGTCCTTTCAGAAGATATTCTGATGTTGGCACTCTTTGGACATGACTACCTGCACTGAAGAAAATAACCTCATGCATCCTCCTAGCAGCAACTACATTCAGTGACTGACTAGTATGAGCCAATAAGGATTCAAGCCACACAAATCACAACATGAGACTACTTAGAAGAGCTGCTTTACTTCCAGAACTCCCCATGGGCTCAGTTGGCACCTTTGTTGGAACTGTATCGCCATCCAGCTTCTCTCTCTGCCGGCTCTTGCTTCCTTCCTGTCCCTTCTATAGGTGTTAATCCTAAAGGTACAATCTGATTTCTATCCTGTCTACTTGTTGCTTCAGAGTCTGCTTCCTGATACCTAGGCAGCAACAAAGATAAAGTCTAGTCCATAGAGACAAACTCTAGTCCCTAGAGAGAGAGTTAGCAGAGGTAGTAGCTGAAGTCAGGCAATCTAACTCTATAACCTGATCTTGGCCACCTGGCAAAACTTCATCTCTGTGCTATACTCTGTCTTCTTTCTAATCTTTATAAGTACTCTATGGCAGAGATACTAGTTATTGTATCATGCTGCATATCAGCAAACTGAAGCTGGGAGAAATGTGCAGTGACTCAGCAAGAGCCTGACTGCTAGAAAATAGTCAGCATTTAAACTATGTCAACTAGAAGTCAAGGTCTCTATGTTTATCTTCTCTGTGTTGTATGACATATCACCATCAACAGTTCACACAGTACCCACATGTTATGCAAACAGATGAAAGGGACACAGCACTTTGCCCGTAAGAAAGGGCAGTTCATTGTTACTTGTACAATAACACCATAAAAGAAGCACTAACAAGCCACTATTCATCTTATCCCGGGTTTCCATGATCAGATAAGGGCTATCCAGAGGTCACACCCATGCTCATCTTAGTTAACACATTTCCCCTCTGGGTGTGTCTGAGTTTACAGAGAAGATTAGATGATGAAGGCAATACTGATGGATTCAAAATTTGAACAGACTACTGGGAGGTGATGGAACTGCAGAAGGAAGGGTCTGTTCTAGGAAATAAGTCACCGAGAGCAGGTCTTTGGAGGCTCTCTCTTGCCCTGGCCCTTTCTTGTGACTGTTCTCTGCTTACTCTCTGCTATGATGTCATGATGAATTGACACCTCTAAATCATGAGGAAAAAAAGTTATTTTGTCAAGTATTTGGTATAACTGACAGAAAAACTAACACAACTCTCTGGGATCTGTGCAACTGGCCGTTGTTCTTTGTTCCCCACTCCCACAAACATTTTCCTGACATTCTACAGGACTGAGTGTAAAACTTATTACTCAGTGGTCAGAAACCAAATCATACTGCACTTTGGATTTAAGACAAAACCAAAACCCAAACCAATGTAGTGGTAGTCTTTCTTTGTTAGCGATGAAGTGTTATAACCTGTAACTGATCATATGACACAAAGGATCCTACAGCTCTTTCTGCTCTAATTCTTACCATTCTGTTGTCGATATCACTTACAGCCCAGCCACACTGACCTTTGATCAAAACCTTATAAGAACTTGATGGATTCCAAGAATTGGCTGTGTATTACTTTTTTGTTGCTGTGATAGGATACCATGACCATGGCAACTTTTAGGAGGAAGAGTTCATTGGGGCATAGGGTTCCAGATGGTTAAAGAGTCCATCATGGCAGAGAGGCACAACAGCATGCCCAGGCATCGCAACCAGAGCAGAAAGCTGAGACCTCATATCTCCAATGGCAAAGAGGAAGCAGAGCAAAACTCAAAATGGGACCAGGCTGTGAACTCTCGAAGCATGCTCCCAGTGACATAGTTCCTCCAGCAAGGCCATACTGCCTAAACCTCCAGAAATAGTGCTACTAACTTGTGACCAAGTGTTCAAACATGTGAGCCTGTTGGGAACATTGCCCATTCAAACCATCACAGATTGCTTCCATATCATTTGCCCAGACTGCATGCCAGGAGCCTTCTACTGCCCCTAAACCTTGTTGTTTCTCCATTGCTGTGGCAAAACACTCTGACCACTACCAACTTGGGGAGGGAAAGGTTTATTTGTCTTACATATCCCGGGTCAAAGTTCATCCGGGAGCCCAAGCTAGTAACTCAGGGCAGGAGCCTGGAGGCAGGAGCTGGAGCACAGGCCATGGAGGAATGCTGCTTACTGACTTGCTCCCCTGGCCCCTCCTCAGCCTGCTTTCTTATGCAACACAGGCCCACCTGCCCAGGGGCGTCACCACCCACAGTGGGCTGGGCCCTCCCACATCACTCAACAATCAAGAAGGTGCCCCATGGACATGGCCACAGGCCAGTCCAATGAAGGAAATTCCCCAATTGAGGCTCCCTCAACCCAGGTGACACAAGCTAGCCAGCACAGCCCCCTACAACCCTTAAACGGTAAGTGCATTACGAAGCCATTGCATATTTTGCTATGTAAGGTGAGCTTGCAATTCTATTGTTCCTCTGGGTATTTATATACCCACAACAAGAGCACTCATTTCAGTCCTGCACATTTTGTCCTATCTCCATCCCCTCTACTCCCCCCAACAATGTCAGCTTCTCAGCAGGGCAGGATATCCTTGATATTGAAGCTTCCAGCAGTGTTCAGCAAATGGCTACCACTTACCCAAATACCTGCTGAATGAATGATTACTAGTGACCTATATTATATTTGGTATATCTGAAAAATAACCTAATGACCCAGGAGTTTATCAGGCAGTACCTTTTAGCCCCAGAATTTTCTCTTGGATGATATTTTGGCATCTGCAAGAAGATAAGGAAAATGCTCTCCAAAGTCATTATGTATTTGCTGATAAGCAAGTTTGAATCCTTCCTCCACTGGCTGTCATGGCAAGCTTGAGCAGCTACCTCAATTTACTCATATTCTATTTGTCGTATACCTTCAACTGCCTTTCCCTATCTTACATTTTCTTTAGATTGAGCTCTTGGCATTAAATTATTGCTTTGTTTAGTGGTGCTAGGATAATCAGAATAATGTTAATCAGTTCATACCTTGTTATTATCATCAAACACACTAAACTCAGCATAATTGGCTGTACTTAGATATACAATGCTGTGAGTGCTAAAAGCCATTGAACTGTGAACTTTGAATGGGTGAATTTTATGGCATGTTATAAACGTAATAAAGTTGCTAAAAATCAACTCACGCTGTGATCAACATACTGGTTATCATCTGGTGTGCACCATCTTGTGCTTTCTTATCTACTCACTACGAAAAGCAAAATCCAGGGATGAGAAGTGACTTATCCAGGATAACTAAGTTGGTGGAGTCAGAATAGACACCTAAGCCCTTTCATGCCTGGTCTTTAATTCTGAGTTGATAATGCTGTGCCTATGTTGACACAGACGTGCTTTTGAGGAAGTTTCTTGAGTTCTGAACTCAGTATTAGGACACTTTACTGGCAATACAAGTGAACGTTCTGGCTATCTTAAGTGATCTTCTTATGTGGCACCTTTCTTTGGTTATATTGATTTGGGCTTGCTTCTCCAGACGAATGAAGAGTGGAAAAGTAGCACAATGGTGAAGAATTATAGCGACTTCACGTGAAATATTCATGACATACAAAGGAAACTGGGGATCTTATTTCTCTCTGGCATTTTTAAGACATCAAAATCATGGGGGAAAGTGGTATTAACCTATTAAGAGCTTGGATTTACTGCAGGGGATCTCAGTCACAGGCTGACACCCTTTGACCTCACCTTCCGTATTGGGTCATGATCCCAGGAGGGAAGTAAGTGGTGTAGCAGCCCCCGGAGTACTGCTCCTCACACCAGTTCTTCTCTTCATAATGGACTGGCTGTAAGGCAGAAGGATAAAGGTTGGAAAGAGAGACAAAGGAAGATACCTAGCCCAGCACAAATCAAGCACATTATAGTAGACATCATAGTAGAGAAGTACTTGCAACTGTCCCTTAGAATCTGATGAGCAGTGATTCCAAGACTCCCTCCTTCCCATAGATACAAAAGGACCAGATGATCAAACCCCTTATAAAAATGTTGCAGTGTTTGCATATAACATGTGTGCCTCCTCTTGGATACTTTAAATTTTCTCTAAATTATTTATAGTATCTAACACAATATAAAGGCTATATAAATAGTTATCGCGCTGAATGTTCAGTACAGGTGCAATTTTTTCAGATACTCTCCAACCATGGCTAGTTGAATCCACAGATTCAGAACTTGCATGTGGAGTTCTGACTATATTTCTGAAATAGAATCTCCTTATCCTGATGTTTCTGAATAAAATCATAAATGTTGGAAGTAATAAGCTTTGAAGAAATTCGAACTTTGGAAAGTTTTCTCATTTGTTGATACATAGCATATCACTTATTTTGAGGCAGGACCCATTCATGTAGTATAAGCTGGCCTGAGATTCTTGATTCCCCTGCTTCTACCTTTCAAGCACTAGAATGATTGCACTATTCTTCCTGAACATGCATGTCTTTAGTGACCATTCATCAGCATAGTTTTTTGTTTCTACTTTAACTTTTCTTTTAACTCTTTAGGAAGTTTTAATTGTCTAATCATTTTGAGAAATGTTTTGAAAAGACATAGCTTAAAAGAGTGGTTGACCAAGAAAGTTCATGGTTTTGTTAGGGGTGACCTTTGCTAAGGGAAGGTATACAAGCAGTTAAAGTAATGTTTTATGGTATGTAGTCACTTATGTGGCACTGTAAACACCCATTGATCTAGAAAATGTAATTTAGACATGAATATGGAGTATTTTAGCTTAGATTTTTACAAATTTTGAATTCTTTATAAAAATGAGGGTCAGAGGTACAGTCCAGTTATAATAGAGCACATGCCTATCACGTGGACTCCTTAGGTTCAGTCCTGAATACCTGGGGTGAGAAGAACCAGCAATGAACAATCTGTAGAGAAACATCACTTTGAAACAGTAAAATGAATATAGCCAAGTATTTAAAATAGATTTTCGGGACAAGGTCTCACTATGTAATACTGGCTGGCATGGAACACACTATGTAGATCAAGCTGGACTTGAACTCAGAGATCTGCCTGCTTCTGCATCTGGAGTGCTGGAATTAAAGGCATGCACCATGACACCTGGCTACAAATAGATTTTGAAAACTGTTTTGTTCATTTTTTTTTTCAATAATGTAGCTGACTAGCTAACTTTGGATGGTCATTTGTAAGGCACCCTATTTATCAAGTATGAGGACCTACCTGATGGGTTAATGGCCCTAAATCTCTTGTGATGTGTATCATCATGTTGTGTCCTGGCATCTGTGGGCTGTTGCTGCCTCCTAAGCATCCTTCTCTGGCTCTTTGCAGCCAATCAGAAGAAAAGTTGAACTTTCTCTTTCCCCTGTCCTTCGTCTCTGAAATTTCTGCCTTCCACACAAAACTAAAGCAAAGCAAGGGGCACTCTCTGAGCCAAAAAGCATACAGGACAGGAGAAGCTCCTTTTCATCCCTGGAAATTAATCATCTACATTCTTCTTAGAACAAGAACCTTTCTCAAATAAAAACTGATCACCTTTTTGGGAAATACAAAGACAACTGTTTTCATCATTAGCTGAGGTTCTCCAATGAACCACCTTACAACTTGCTGGAGAACTTCAGTTACAATCTGATGTCACCCAATAGCCTGTGTCAGGGAGCGCTCTCAATCTGGGGACAAGTGTACTACCACCTAAGCCAGAGAATATCACAAGGCCTTGACACATCACCAGCACAGCCAGGGTTCACACTTTCTGGAACCACTAATAAATCAACCAGTCATGTGCCGACCCTTCTGTTTAGTCCATTGGGTAAAAATTGAGCTCTATGGTCCCAGTTGAATGAATCCATTCCTGGGGACCCCTTCAGGAAAAAGAAAGGCCTCTCTCCATTGGGAAAAGGCTGGGAAATGGTCTTACCTGGAGAGCTTCTTGGGAGCCCAGGACTTTTGCATACAATTCACAAAGTTTCTTCAATCTGTGGAACAGAGAAATGATTTACTGACAAAAATAAAGGTGAAGGAGCAAAGAGAGGGGAAGAAAAAGTGAGAGGAGCCTATTTCCTTAAAGAAAAAGACTCTGGGTACCATTGCTTCCACTTTGAGATTTCATTTTAATCAATTATTGTTTTATTTTGCTTTGTTTGAGATGGTATCTTGCTATGTAGCACAGGCTAACTTCAAATTCTCCGTCCTCCCAGCTGGGGCCTCCCAAGTGCTGTGATTGCAGGTAAGTGCAAGCATATCCAGCTTCATTTTAATTTTTGAAAAAAAAGTTTATCCTATGTCTAATGTCTTAAAATTAGGAGCTCACAAATATGAATGAAGTGAGACTGTTGCTAAATCTTCAAGAAAGTAAAACGAGGCTATACCTGAATCACTGGGGGCACATGACAATTTAGCCATGATTATTCTCAAGTCCTGCCTGAGACTTCTTAACTCAGAAAGGAGAGTGGAGTGACAGCAGTCTATGTTCCATAAGCCTTCCAGGTGATTCTCAAGTTTGAAAACTACGAATATAGTGTTCCCAGCCCAATAATGGTATATAATAAATACTCATTTATTATTACTCATACTTATTTATAATAGCTCTTAAGCCTAGTGGGAAAATTGGAAGCAAGCCAACAGTGATAATTAGTCAATTAGAATGAACAAAGTGGTTAATTAAGATAAGACTATTCAATAATATTTCTATAAACAAACACAGCTATTTCAACACTGGCTTTTATAGACTGGTAATGCACGAGGGGATCTTAAAACATAATTTAAAGCTTGGCAATGAGTTTTAAAAGTACTATTATTGTTTTAAATCTAAGGACTTGTTCTATAAGCAAAAATATATAAAATCCCCCCTTCCTCTCTCTTCCTCTCTCCCCTTCCCTCCCTTCTTCCCTTCCCTCTCCTACTCTGAAATAGTTTGTCACAAAAAGAGGAATGGTGACAGAATAAGAAATGCAATTAAATTCAGAAAAAGAACCAAATATATCAGGAGGGCTAGAATGTATGAAGGTAGACATTTTACATTCTTGGAGAAAATAATTTATTCAATAAAATGGTTGCCCATGAAGGAAATGATTCTGCAATCCTTTTTATAGAATATTTGATTAACAATTTGAGAATTTCATACAATGCATTTTGATCATATTCACTCCCCCACTACTTCCCATAATTCCTCCCAGATTTATTCCTACCTTCCTAACCCCAACTTCATGTCTTCTTTCTTTTACTTTATAAAACACTACATCGAATCCTATATTTCATGCCCATATACTCATGAGTGTGAGTTGATCCACAGGAGCATGACTGACCTACCAGGTACCACACCCCTAAAGAAAACCGACCCCACCCCCAGCAGCCATCAACTGTCAATAGTTATCTTCCCCACACCCCCCGCTTCTGCATGACTTCTTACATCAAAATATATTTCAGAAGAATGGAAGATTTTCAGATAGCAAATGAATCCAGATATGAGCATGGTGGTCCATGCCTGGAATTTCAGCACTCAGGAGATGGAGGCAGGAAGACTGTGAGTTCAAAGCTAATCTGGGCTACATTGTGAGCCAAGGAGCAGACTAAGCTAGGTAGCAAGTCAGTCAGCCAGTCTCTCTCTCTCTCTCTCTCTCTCTCTCTCTCTCATCTTCTTCTGTATCTCTCTATCACTCATATATATACATATGTATAGCTACATATCTTAAGCCTATAATTGCAGAAAAATGTGTGATGAAAAAATGTATATCTTGGAATCTGAAACTCTGTGTTTGATAGTTTATAAGCAAATTATATATGGATAAAGTTAGTCTGTGTTTGATACTTTATAAGCAAATTATAAATGGATAAATTTAGTCTGTGTTTGATAGTTTATAAGCAAATTATAAATGGATAAATTTCACCACATAAAATAAATTATTTTTATATTATATGACAACCAATCTATGAACATGATTAAAAGACAAATTGGGAAATGATTTGTTTCAGGCACTGGAGAGCCAGCAGTGAGTCAAACAGATAACACATCATAACCTTTGAAATAGAGTCATTTTTAGATGTGTGGTCCAGTCAGATCACCACAGCCCTGGCCACCCACAAATGTGGCATTTGTTATGGAGGAGCGAGCTGAATCAGACAGGAAGAATACACTTGTAATGTCATTCAGGCTTTTAGTTGGTAACTATGTCATCAGTAGTGGTGTCAGAATACATAATTGTCAGTGGTGAATACTAATTACCAGAAGAAATCGCCACCTCCAGAGAAATTAGTCTCTTTGGACTGATAATATGTATTTGCTATGCATTTTTATGTAGTGTTCTGTAACCTAGTAATTTCTGTACTTGGTTATCTCCTCCACAAGCAAAATTTCAGTTCCTGGGTTATAGCTATTTTTATAATGTTCACATTCTTAGCATGATGTCTTATGCACAATAAACTCAATGAACATTTTTGAATACTTGACTCAAGTTATAAGCACTGAAACTTTATATCAGACTCTTATGATTAACATAACAGACACAAGCATTAGCAATACACATAATATAAGGCGGTCTGTAAGTTAAAAAGTTAAGAAACATTGAAAGGCAAGAAAGTAGTCAGAAAGAAAGAAAGAAAGAAAGAAAGAAAGAAAGAAAGAAAGAAAGAAAGAAAGAAAGGAAAAGGAAGGAGGGAAATGAAGGGAAAAGGTAACTTTTTTGAGAGCTCATACTCTCTCCTGAAAGTGCTTTTGCTCAGAAATAAACTTCCTATCAGTTCAGAAAGAAAAGAGATGGAGGACAGCGGGAGGGAGGGAGGGAAGGAAGAGGGGAGGGAACAATTTTTGTTACCTTTCTTCTTTGGTGAGACGTGCCAGTTTTCTGGCTTTATGAGCAAGGATAAACCTAAAACATGCAAACAAGAAAAAAAGGATAAATTAATACTGTCCTTCATCTCAACTACATTTCTATTGTTGCACATGCCCAATGTAGCATGCAGAAGAAACCATCTACATACTCGTTTACCTTATGCTCATAGTTTCACTGTTTACATGCTACATTTCTGACACCAAGAAGTATTTTCTTGCTCTGGAGAATCAAGGGACTAATAGTGAATGACTAGCCATGATTTCTGTATAGGATAACGTAATGATTGATCCACTATCCTCCATCATGTTGGTGACCAATAGGGAGGGACCCTGAGCCTCAAATGCTTACTTAATGCTGCATCCGAGCCATTCAGTGCTTTCTTACTCTTTGGTCCTATCTTTCCCATGATGTCCCCCCTAATAGTCAACCTTTAAGAGTCTGTCTCATTTCCAGCCCTATAATTGCTTTCAACTTAATAAGTGGTTTTGACCTTCCTGTTCTCATCATGGCTTTCTGTTGGCCATCTCAATTTTAGCTGCTCCAGGTAAATACCTCTTTAGTTCAAGTACTGACCCCATCTATGTTGGTCTTCTGTGGCTAGTAATGTATAGGAATGGCCCTCACTTATTTATAGTGGGACTCAGAAAATTTCAATATCCCACATAAATAACGTTTATTGTGATTTAAATAGTGTTGTCCTCACCAAAACTCAAATTGAAATTCCATTCACAATTTGGAAGCACTGAGAGGTGATGGGGCCTCACAATTTTGGATTGTTCCCATAAGAGTGGATTGGTTCTTGGAAGAGTAGCAAATTTTGCTTCCTCTGCTTGCTTGCTTGCCATATGATTTCATGGCAAATACCCACTTCCTTCCACTTTTCTGCCATGTAAAGAGTAGTACAAGGCCTTCATCATAAGTGAAGCAAGTGCTGGTGCCATGATCTTGGACTTCCAGAACTGTGAGCTACAAAACCTCTTTTTGTAATAAGTTTCTTGGTCTTAAGTACTTTGCTATAGCAACAGAAAACAGAGTAACTAACACAGAAGCTCACACAGACTCCATAAGAAATACTCTTAGTAAAACACTTCTCTTAGTAAAATACCCCAAGTAATATCTTAATATCATATAAAGATGGCCTGTGAAAAATATTATCTACTGCATTACTAACTATGAAGCCTAAAATTAATGCAACAAAATTCTAAAGGTTATTCACATGTGAATTCTAGATATTTATTCATTAGAAGACACTTTTGTTTTATTTTTAATATTGTATTTTTGATAATTTCATATAGGAGTATTGTCTTTCATTATTTCCATCCCTCCCAGTCCCCCATCAATTCCTCCCATGTCCCCACACTCCCCTTAATCAATAGTATTTTGTTATCTTTCCAACAATGAATATAGATAAAATACCATAATCGTGCCTTACCCCATTATAGCGGCATAGTTGCCATCTGGTTTGGTATCATCCAGTGTGTAGGCAATTGGAGCTTCCTCTCCTTCAATAATCATGGTTCCACAGAAATCTTGGAAAGTAGCAAAGTGGAAGAACATGTTCATTACCCCATCAAATGACCCACAATTACAAAGAAATACAGTTTTCAACTTCAGAAACTTTAAGGCTGAACATAGCATATTACACTCTTAATGTATGAAGGTAAAACAAACTGATGTCAAAAGGAAGGTTAAGTAGTCAATTTTCTGTGGGGAAAATCAAACCCCAAGACCTAATGGGGTAATGTAATATTTTGAATTAATCCAGGTCACCATTTAATAAAATCTAGTTTTCCTTTTGTTGATACTTGTTTCCTCTATTTCTCCTTTCATAAGAAATCAGAATACAAAAAAATCAAAGTGGGTCAGAGAATGTGCTCAGTTGGTGTAGTGCCTGCCTAGCACTCACAAAGGCGTGGATTTGATCCCCAGCACTGCATAAACTGAATGTGGTGGTGATATCTGTAATCCCTCTACTCAGGGAGTAGAGGCTGGAGGATCAGAAGCTCATGGTCATTCTTAGCTACATAATGCATTAAGAATCCTATCTGAACTATATAAGACTGTGTCTTAGATGAAAGAGTAAGGGGAGGAGGATAAAAAAGAATAAAATCAAAGTTATCAACTGAGTGAAATAGGAGGCACTGGATGTTCATATCTCATGAGGAGTCGCTTAGTCTTCTTTGAAATTTTCTGTTAGGCCCTCAAAAAACTAAAAATCAACCTACCATATGATCCAGTTATACCACTGGAGGACTCATCCTACTGTAGAGATACCTGTACATCCATGTTTGTTGCTGCTCTTTTCAAAATAGCTAAGAAATGGTAACAACCTAAATGACCTCCAGCTGATGAATAGATAATGAAAATGTGGTACATCTACACAATGGAATTCTACTCAGCAGGAAGAAAAGACGAAATTATGAAATTTTCAGGTAAATGGATAGAGCTAGAGACTGTTATACTGAGAAGTAACACAAACACAGAAAAGCAAGCAACATATGTTCTCCCTCATTTGTAGATTGCAGCACCAATCCCTTATATGTGAATATATAAATTTTGATGTAACACCAGGAGCCAGGAAAAGAGAAAGGATACAAGGAGGTAAAGGAAAAGAAAGAACCTGAAAGGGGGAGAGTAGGAAACAGATGTAGGGAACACCTGAGGGAGGTGGAAAAAGTGGGAGGAATCAGCAGAGAGGAGAGGAGGGAGGGACATGCAAGGGGCCATGGTGCGGGGAAGGGAAGGAAGTCAGGAGAGGAAGGATGCGGGGAGTCTGGATGTATTGAGGGGAAGGTGGGGATAATGGGAGGAAAAACAATGGAGATGAGTGAATCTTGGGGGGCTAGGAAACCTAGAGGGAAAAGTTATGCCCTAGAAACCCTATGAGAAATGAACATGAATGCTTATGTATACCTGGGAACTGCTTGGAAGGGAACGCAGTACCAGACAGAAGAGACCTCCCTTAGAGTAGTAGGTGTATGTGGTCCAGGAGACTCCCAAAATAGCACAGGATATTGCCAAACCTCTTGGTTATCTCCCAGAACTAGTAGATAAAACCCTCCTGTTGAGGAAAGGACATAGTTGGGATACAGGACTTGAAACAATGGAGCGGGAACTGACCTGGAAGCCTTCCAACAGAAGTTTGGCTATCATAACACTAGGTGATGATATGCAAACTGCCAAGGTAGAATAATAATCAATGGTCCATCGCAGCCCTGAAGCTTAATAACCAAGGCTACCAGCATGGCAAACTATCTCTATTGGTGCAGTAGTGGCACTGTTATCCTGGGGGCAATCAACAGCTATCTAATTGAATTTAAAGCCCTCTCAATGGGATGGAACTCACGAGTGGCACTGTAAACTCAGCCAAATACACATGGCAAGAGAGAACATATATCCTGGAAAAAATCCTATATCTTTCATCTCTCAAGATAAAAGACACTTCTTACTATATGCTAAATATTGATCCTTATATTTACAGACAAGCATGCCCTACAGCACTCATCAAAGAAGCTTCTTTTTGCAGCATACGGAGGCTACTGCAGAGTTGCACATCTGGTCAGGCACAGAGCACATATGTCTGGGAGATGCCCAGTCCTGGGTGACACATCTGCAGTTGAATCTCTACAGCCAAGGTTCATGGAACGTAGCAGAATAAGGGGTAGAGAGAGGGCTCATGGGTCCCTCAACTCTCACCAGTGAGGCTTCCTTGTATAGCAGAATGCAATGCATACAGAAGGCCACAACTGGTCAAGTTTTGGAGAATAAGAGACTGTAGAGTGCATGATGGCACTCCTATATGGAACCTCACCCACCCACGGTTCAGGGACCATTGTGGAAGAGATGGAAAGATTGTAAGAGCCAGGGCTGGTTCATGAACACAGGGAGGTAGAGGCTCCCAAGCCACCGGAGGCTTGCTCATGTGAACCTGTGGCAGTGGTGGCATCAAGTGTTGGACCCATGTCGGCTCAATTAAACAAGGGCCCAAAGAGGAGGTGAGAAATAGGTGGCCGGCCAGCACTAGGCTGAGAAATATTTGAGACTGATTGCTACTGGGTGAGGGAGAGTATGACTTACAGATGACTACTGGAAGGGCTGACTAGATTTCAATGGATGCATGTACACTGAAGGACATTTGGGTATAAACACCTGAATGAATAGGACTTAGCATGTATGGCAGAGTGCATGGGGCTCGGCAGGGAGATGGGGGAGGCATGGATGGCTAAGGGGATCTGGATTTGATTGGGAAATGCTGTATGAAACTTTAAAAGCTCAATAATAAAAAAAATTCTGTTAGAGACAAGGTCTCACTATATTGCCAGAGTTAACCATGAATGAATTCTTGGGCTTATGTGGCCCTCCTACCTCGGCCTCTTGTGTAGCTTGGGATGCAAATGTGTGTCACTGCATCTGGTCACTTAAAATAGTTGAAGCAGTCCTTGACTCTCAGGGCATTGGGTAGAGAGAATAGGTAACTAAAAAGAACCATAGAGCCCCATTTCAAACATGACCTCTGAAAATTCCTTTTCTCCTCAGGAACAACTTGGATAACAATTTCAGTTTATTTTAAAAATATGTGCTCCCTAACATCCTCTTGAACAAAATGCAGCTGGCCTTCTGTACCCATAGGTTCTGCATTTGTCAATTCAAACTGTCAAAAATATTTTTAATTCCATCTGTATTGAATATGTACACCCTTCTTCCTTGTCATGTTCCCAAACACTGCACAGTGTATTACATGTTGCATGTTGCATATTGCATATGCGCATACATATACATATGATACACACATACACATAAGTATATATGGTATAATAGTTATTCACATGGCAAAAAGTACTATAAGTGATCTATAGATGTTTTAAAGTATACAGGAAAATCTGTGTAGGGTCTATGCAAATGCTTTGCTATTGCATACTTAGGGGGGTAAGTACTGGAGTGTTCTGTTATGCATGGGAGGGGGCTTTCTCCAACCAAATCCCCATGTGTAATGGGATTACTCTTACACAATTTTAACAAAAGACTGTGACAGAGAAGGGAAAATGTCAGACCAGAGCCTGAGATGCTTAATAATATCCTGCTGCAGTCTGCTTCTCCTCCTGCTCTATCATTTACTTGCAAATTTGAGGCTGTTCAAACAAAATTATTGTGGAAGACTCTGAAGCAAATGTTGTGTAGAAAAGCTAACAGGAGGATTTCAAAACGAGGAAGAAAGAGCAGAAAAAGAACTTAGCAGGCACATACTCCCTACCCTGTGTGCATGACCATGTATGAAAGAGTCATAGCTTGAGGCCTTTGAGCTGTGCCTGCTTCCCCCTCCACTCCCCCATTCATTCCATCCCTTCTCCATGCAGCCACTGGCTAAATAGATGCATGTATGTCCCTTAGGTGTGCTACATAGGATATGAAAGATATCAAGAAAGGAAGACTGAAGTATGGGGGAGGTGGAAATAGCTGTTCAAAGTACAGATGCTATATTGGGAAAAATGGCTAGGCTGAGATATTCTTGCTTCAAACCAAGGCTGTCTTACCTTTCAGAAGGCTGGTTCAGAACAAGGCCACTGCTACCTCTAAGTAGGGCCACAAATTGTTAATCTTATGATAGTTGCAAAATGTGGACGCCAGTTTAGGATGGGTGGTTGAGTTGAGCCATTTCTGACTCAGGTGAAGACCATCATTTGCCTCAAATTCAAGCTATTGGTAACCATGATAAGCCCTATCTGCAATTATTACAGGACACTACACTAACAATGAAACACTACCTGACTGCCCATGTCGAATTCCATGTGCAGAAAAACAGCCCTTTAGAATGTCTTTAATGAGAAAGTTCTCTCTACCATCTTGCCTCCTGCAGCAGTATCACAGAGTATCTATCTAATAAACTCTATCTTGAGCTTCTGTCTTGGTGAATTAATTCAAAGCCCTTGCATTATCGGCCTATTAACACCATCCATGGCATGGCATAATGTCTATCTAAGACCTCAAGAAGTTTTAAGAGTACAAGCAGACTAGATAAGGAACCGTCTGTTATAAACAGATAAGAAAGAGAGGGGACAAGCAGGATAGGATCTCATGGGAGAGAGTAAGTGCCTATTGATTATGGAGGGATCTGATGAAGGAATGAGGGGCTGGGTAGGATAACAGGTGAGCCAGGGCGAAAAAACTGATTTTCTTCTCAGAGAAAAACTGGCCTCGGAACCAGGTGCATGCACTTGGAGAAAGTGAAAGAACAAGAGGTGGATGCAAAAGCCATCATACCAGATAGAACCAGGCAGCATCTGTGCAATTTCTGTCACTCGTTTGAGAGCCCTGCCCATGTACACAGTGTCCTAGCAGTGTTGTGGGCATCATTCTTTAAGAGTCATGCAAGGACACCCACAGATTTAACAAGTTCCTTTAAGAAGAAAAGTGAAGATAAAAGCCAAAGCAGCCAACCCACCAACCAAAGGAACCCTCAAGGAAACAAGTCAATGATTCCAGAAATGGAATAAATCCCCTCCTCCCAATGCTAATGTCCTCAGGGAGAAATGAATAGTTGTTGCAGCCATGGGAGGTAATAAAGAGGAAGATTAAGAATATAGCACAAGGTTTTAGAATATAAGGATGTGGAAAAGTGTGTTCTGATGAGACAATCATAGCATTGTATGAAAGAATAATTGAAGACTACTAAGAACAGACTAAAGGAAAAATAATGACAGAATGCTTCACTAGATATCAAAACATACCATAAAGCTATAACAATCAGAACTGCAGAGTGATAGCATAGGATTAGAAAATATGCTTTCCAAACTGGGATGCATACATCTAGATTGTGCATCTAGATGGTGAAAGAAAATGCTAGAAATGCTTTGGCTTTAATTAGAGCTTTACAAAAAAAAGTGTACTCTGTATCTTTTAAAAGTATTTGTATCATTTAAGAGTAAAAAAATAGGTAGTTTGAGCTTAGATTTTATTTATAGATATGGCAAAACTGTTTAGAGCATAGTGACAAAGATCATGGGAATAGACAGGCCCCATGTAGGAGCCTAGGGTGGACCTCAGTGCTTAGATTGTATGCTGCCCTTGGTTCAATCCTCAACACCAAAAAACAGCACCATGTATATATTTGAGAATTTAGGCAGAGGAGAAAAATATTTGCAGCATAAAAATATTGCAATATACAGAAAACAATGTAATGAGGAATGATGACTAGGAAATTTATAAAATGATTTCATTTAGCCCTTAAGCCTTATTAATGAAAAAATTAAGCATTATGGAGAAGTAGGACAATTTCTTCTGATTGAAAGACCTTTTAAATATTACTATTAAATATTAATAAATTTATACATTTTAAATTATATTTATTTATTCCTCTCTCTCTGTGTTTCTGTTTCTGTGTCTGTGTGTTCCCACACATCTCTCATGACTGGAGTGTGGAGGTCAGTGGACAATTTGTGAGAGTTGGTTCTCCTCTCCCACCACGTGGATTCTGGGGATCAAACTCAGGTTGCCAAGGTTGATGGCAAGTGCCTTTATCTGCTGTGCCATCTCACTGACCCAGAAAATAAGCTTTTAAATAGCATTAACTAGCAGGGATGCTCTCATAAAGGTCTATCTACATCAATTGATCAAATAATTCCACTTGTAAAATTTTATCCACCAAACAATGCTCTCATTTGAATCAGTGGCGCAATCTTCAAAAAGCTGTTGACTGCAACATGGTGTGTAACAGCAAAAACTTGGAAACAAGAAAAATGCCAACTGAGTAAATGTTGATAGTTTCGCAAAATGAATGTAGTTTATTCACTTGTTGAAGGGAGGTAGGTTTAAATGATCTGTTTTGCATAGGAAAAAATTTCCTTATGATATATCATGTTTTGAAGATTACATATCTTTGAAAAAATATATAGCATCCTTATTTGAAATTATATTTGTGTAGAAGCATACATATTATTGAATATATATACATATATTGTCATATTGGCACACATATTTTTGACATATTTCCTATGCATACAGAAAATATAAGAGAACCTAATATTTTGTGTGTCCTGGGGACTGATGATGGGACATTGTACATATAAATCACATATACTACCACTGAGCTACAAACCCATGCTAACAACCTAATTTTTTTATATTTTATTATTTTTATTTTATGTGTATGTGTGTATTGTTTGCATGTATGTGAGTACACCCGTGTCGTACAATGCTGCGGAGGTCAGAAGAGGGCGTCGCATTCCCCTGGAACTGGAGTCAAGGACGGTTCATAGCCACCATATGGGTGCTGAGAGTCGAACCCAGGTCCTCTGCAAGAGCAGTCAGTGCTCTTAACTGCTGAGCCATCTCTCCAGCCCCTACAACCTAAAATTTTAACAGTGTTTCCCTAGAGGGAGGAACATTAGGATAGGGATATTTTTATTTTTTTTTTAAGTTTTGTGGTGAATGCATTTACTTCTATATAATATTTTAGATCAGTTATGTCTTCTGTCATTGAAAACATAAATTGATGTAAACTAGATGTAAATACTTAAGGAAAATGATGACTAGTTAAAAGATAAGCAGAAACAAGGAGACCAGAAAGATTCAGTGCAACTAGTAACATGCTCTGTCCATATGTGAGGGCTGGGATGAAAGAATGAGACTAGTCCGATGAACCCCAGGGAGGGTGGGCTGCTGACAATGAGGGTAACTGGACATAGATGACTTGTTGGAATCTCAGAAAAGATGAGGTATTCTTCCCTGTAAATTTGCCAAGATGTTACATGTCAAGGGACTGAGAAGCTCCTCCTGAGAACATCAATGCAGAAGAAATCAGTTGCTCTTAAGACACACTCATAAAGGAAAAGGGAATGAGGGAGGAAGGAAAGGAGGGATCAAGTGTTGAATTTCTCTCCAAACCCAAGTGTTATAGGCTTGGGCCCCAGAGTGGTGCTATTGAATGAGAAATACTGGCACTTTTAAGAGGTGGGCCTAGTAGGAGGTCTAAGTTCACTGTAGACATTCTCTTGAAGGGGCTTTGGGGAGCCCAGACCTCTTCTCTACTCTTTATCTTTTTGGCAATGGGGTGAATAGTTTGGCACCACCACGTGTTCCCAACATGATATGATGTATTGTCATAGGCCCCAAAACAACAGACTCAATTGACCATGAACTAGAACATCCAAAACCGTGGACCAAAATAACTTTTCTCTGATATTTTGTTACAATGATAGAAAGGAGTAGATGCAATGAGATGGATTTGGTAAGCTGCTTGGCCACAATGATCATTGCACTATGATATACATTGACATCAAAATACTATAATGTACACCTTAAACGTATATGGTGAAAAAAATCAAATAAAAGCAGTGGTTAGCATGATGCTGAAGATGAAAAGAAACATCAAGAATTAGGTATAATGCCTCTATCAAAACACAAAAACCTTCCTAATACTTTGAACTGTGTCAAACTTGTAAAATGAAATGAACAAATAGAAATCCCAATGACTGTTTTCTGTGTGCCTATGTGCTAGTCATTGTGCTCAGGCTGTCTGGGGCTGTGCATTTCACCCCCTTTTGTCTTGTTAGCTCATATTCCCAGAGCTTTTGTATTGCTACTATATATATATATATATATATATATATCCAACCAAGCATTATTAAGCACTGATTTCATACTAAGCATTAGGAATTCAAAAGTCCATTTCTTTGCCAACAGTTCCAACTTGGGAATAAGACTATCACACAAACTGATAGATAATTCAATAATGTTGTACTGAGTTTGAGACAATTACAGAAACACACAGAATTCCAATGCTCACATACTACATGATTCCTGTTACATTGATAAATGATTCAATAGCAACTATTTGAAGGATTCAGTAATGAAATCTGAAGAAGCTGACTCTTATGACAGGGTAATGGCTTTGCTTCACACTATCAATGTCATTGCCAATGATACGGTAATGAATTATGGGTTGAATCTTTCCCTGAAGTGCTAAGTGCTTGGGACCAGTAGTGTTTTGAATTTGGGAATTTTTGAATATTTGTATACACTTAATGAAATATATTAGGGATGTATCCAAATGTAAATATAAAACTCATTTATATTTCTTATATACTGTGTGTGTGTATCTTGAGGGTAATTTCATATATTATTTCAAATAATTTTTTAATTTTATATGCATGAGTGTGTTGCCTGAATGTAAGTGCACCTGTGTCAAGCAATGCTTGTACAGATTAAAAGAGGGTGTTGGATTCCCCTGAAACAGGAATTGTGGATGGTTATCAGCTGCTATGTGGGTGCTGGGAATCAAACCCGGGCCCTCTGCAAGAGCAACCAGTGCTTTTAACCTGCGAGCCTTCTCTCCAGCCCCCACATTTCAAATAATTTTATGCATGACACAAAGTTTCATGGTGTGGAATTTTCTACTTGTAGCATCAAGTTAGTGCTCTAAAAGTTGCAAATTTTATTTTTAGGTCATTTAGAGATTTTATTTTTGGATCAGTGATGTTCATCCTCACAAGAAATCTCACATTTTTTGGTGGGGTTGTCCGATGTCTGTAGTCAGTTTTGTAAGGCATTACTCAAGTCTCTTAAGCAACAGAGATCAAGTCAGGTCGGGCCTCTTCCTATGGGCAAAAAACTCGGATTTTCATTAATTTTTAAAAAAGATTTAATCAGATAATTAATTTGTGTGTGTTCAATTAAGTGCTTTAATCAGATAATTAATTTGTGTGTGTTCAATTATGTGTGTGTGTGTGTGTGTGTGTGTGTGTGTGTGTGTGTTTTGCTGGGGATAGAACATAGTATCTTGTATATCTTACCAAGCACACTACCATTGAACTGTATTCCCAGTATGAATCTTTACCTTCATGAATGTCTTTATAAATGCATGCTTTTGCAAAGCACGTTAGTAAATGAAATCACCTGTTCTCATAGGATTTGGGGAACTATTAATTAAACTTTATATCACCTCATTAAAAGAATTGGTGATTATGAGGAATGTGAATTCCATGAGTCTGTGTTAAAAACTCATACTTTATTTGAAATAATTGTGCATAGAAAATGAATGTCAGCTGTAGTGGCAGACACCTGTAATCCTAGTACACAAAAGGATGAGGCAGAAGGACCACAAGTTCAAAGCCTGCCTAGGCTACATGTCAAGACCAGGCCTCACAAAAAAGAACTTAAACTAATGTTTTATACCCAGAATTTTAATAAAAATAGTTATATGCAAATATATATATATATATATCTTGACACCAAGTTTCTTGGACCTCCTTATGAAAGTCTTTATATCAAGAAAGCACTTACCCTTTTTCCTCCAGAAGGGCTCTTTATAATAAACCATGCACTTGATGACTGAACCCAAAGGCACACGAGTGATCAGCTGGTTTCTTATCATTGGCAGAGGAGGACTATAGTGAATCTTCATCCCCAGAATGGGTGGAATAGCACTAATCACGTATTTTGCCTAAAAGAAATGGAATGTGGTTAAATACCACTAGTCTCCTATATTCATTTTCCTTTTAAAAATATTTTATTAATTATTTGAGAACTTCATAGAGCGTACTTTGATCATATTACCCCCTCCCTCAACTCCTTCCAGATACACCCCACCTCCTTACCCACCCAACTTCATGTTATTTTTCCCCTATCAAGTCCAATGTGTGTTGCCCAAATTCTTTTGGGTGTCGAACCTACCCTGGATTATGGTCTAACTACCAGGGGGGCACAGCCTTAAAGAAAACTGGTATCTTCTCTCCCTGCAGCTATCAAATGCCAATAGCTCCTCACCTAGGGGTAGGAATTTGTCTCTGCTTCCCCTCCATGTTGGGATTTTGTCTAGCTTGAGCTTGACCATGTCTTGTGCATGCTAACACAACTGTTGCACATTCATATGTGCAAGTGCTCTGCTGTCTGGAAAACACCATTTCCTTGTAGCCCTCCAGCACCTCTGTCTCTTAGAGTCTTTCTACCCCCTCTTCTTAAAAGTTCCCTAAGCCTTGGGGGAAAGGGATGGGGGTAAAATAGATGCCCTATTTAGGGCTGTACACTCTTCAGTCTCTTATTCTCTGCACACTGACCAATTATAGTCTTTTCCTTAAGTTTGAGAGTTTTGGTTACCTCATAGGTTTCATGGTTTAGGGCCTCCACAAGTATATTTTCCCCTGTGTGGTCAATATGAATCACAGGCCTCTCAAGCTTTACTCGGTCCCCGAGGAGATCCATTATCCGCTCACTTACTTGACCAGATCCACCAACAAATTTCCTCTCCTGGAAAGAAAACATGAAGCCATAAGATGGGTGGGAATATAAGAATGGGCATAAATCACTAAGTGTCTAATTTTCCTTCCTGTCCCTCCCCCAAGATATGTAAGATTTCATTTTACTATTGGGAATCATTTCTTCCAGCTTGTTGGGTTTATTTTTATTTATATTGTTATTGTTATTTGGATTTTTATAATTAGGGGTTGCTGTCTTTTGACAAAATTATAGGCTTACTAAGTCACCTTAAAGTTATATGATTATGGATGCCAAAGCTCCAAACTCAATTGACCATCCTAAGAGTGATTCGCATCTCCCACCTGTCTAGTTATCACCTTGCTCTGGGCCTCATCTACATTCTTTTGATCATCAGTTGTGTCTGGTAGAACTCTACCTACAGCTTGACCATCACTTTCTTTAGCTCATCTAAGCCTTGTCCTTGTGACTCAGAACCCTCCCCCATGTACCTCCACAACACTATTCCCCAGTCTTAGGCCAGTCTCCTCTTTATTTTGGGTGGTCCCATCTTATCCAGGATCAGGTGTCTGCCGCTCATCTTGCTGCATCTACCTATCCTAAGCCCTGCTTCCAAACATTCCAAAGCTTCTAAATGGTCTACCTGGCTGTGCACATAGTCCAGTTTACTGCCTTCTCTTCTCAATTTTCAGAGAAGTAAAAAATTCATTAATTTATTAATTAATATTATTACATGTGTGCATGATGCATGCAGGTAGCAGCCACTTTGAGTAACCTTTGTAAAGCATAAACCATAAGCCACAAGCCTGTCTCAAGTACCATTATCTCCTGATTGTACAATGATGCCATGCTTTCATTCTGTAATGGTGCTTTTCTATTATGACAGTAGGGAATGGATGAATACCTGTCCTCCATTGGTTGTTGAGATGATTCTGGTTGTGCCCCCACACTGTTTCACATACCACAGGAACCAGAGAGCAGAGACCTCATGGGTCTCTGCAGTGACACACAGGTTCACAAAGAGAGTGGCAAGCTCCTTCGCAGATCTGATCCAGGAGAAGCAAGAGCATGATTGGCAAATGTAGGACATCATCTTCTCAACACTCTTAGAGTGTTCAAGTAATAGATTTTATTTGCTCACTTAGCAGACTTTTGTAAATTGCAGGAAAGTGTCACTGGAACTCAGTATTACAAAATATGGTAACAGATTTGGGGAATATGGTATTTGTTCCCCCTTAAACAAAACATCTTATTCGGAATTGATTTCTACTCCTTACTCTGAGGTGTCAGTTGTTCCTCTTTCCTGCTGTTCTTCCAGCAATTCTCTCTCTCTCTCTCTCTCTCTCTCTCTCTTCTCTCTCTCTCTCTCTCTGCACATCTCTCAATCATCTTTACCACAAATTTAGAGCCATCTCTTGCCATGAGCACTGCAATTAGTTCTTCCAGATTGGTCTCTGCTTCCACTCACCTTTATTGTGTGTGTGTGTGTGTGTGTGTGTGTGTGTGTGTGTGTCCATGCACGTATGCATGCATGGAAGTCAGCTCTCTCCCTCCACCATGTGTGTTCTGGAGATTGAACTCAGGTAGTCAGGTTTGGTGGAGGTAGGCACCTTTATTCACTGGGCCATCTCACCAGCCCAAATGTTCTTTACCTCTTTCCATACCGAGGTGTTCTTTTTCAAACCTAAATCAAGCCAGCTCATTCTCTTGCCTGAAACTGCACACTGGCATCCTAGAAAATTCTGGGATAAGATTCAGATCTTTTATCGCGGCCTCCGAAGCCCGAGGTAATGTAACCCGTGCCTCCTCCCTTTTCATTCTCATGTACCTTCTCCCACTTACTCCAATGTGTCTCCAGAAAGGCACACTCTTCATCTATATAGAGATGGGTATTGGATTCCATATTCCAACCACTATGGCATTTGATCTTTTTTTCATTGCATATTATCTGTACAACTCTCCCCAGTGTCTGAAATTTTTTGAGAACTGATTTATTATTTTTATTGCTATCTCCTCTAACTAGAATATCAGCATATGAGAACGTGAATCTTATCTTTATTGCTTTCTGCAGTGCCCCCCTTTTTAAAGACTTTTGTGTATATGTATGTATGTGAATATGTGTATAAATGTGGTGTATGTGTTTGATGTATGAGCATGTGTGGGTGCATATCTACATGCACGTGAAAGCCATAGGAGGACATTAGGTGTCCTCCTGAATCACTCTCCATCTTATTACTTTGAGATATGCTCTCTCCCTGAACCTGAAGTTTGTGCTTTTTGCCTACTCTGATAGTCAGCAAGCCTCAGCCATCCTTCCTCTGCTCCCATTTAACTGGGGATATAGGCACATGTGGGACCACACCTGGCTTGTTATGTGGAATCTCAGATCTGAACTTAGGTCCTTCCTCATGTTTGCTCATGAAGGACTCCTAGTCACCAAACCATCTCTCCAGCTCCTATAGCGTCCCCTTTAACAAAATAGTTCCTGGCATATGTGAGTACTCAAAAATTACTTGTTGAATGAATGAGGAGAAATTTAAATTAAACATTATTTTATCACATTTTATTTATTTATTTATTTATGTGTATATGCATGTCACAGTATGTATATGAAAGTCCAAGGACAACTTGTGGAAGTCAGGTCTCTCTTCCACCCTGTGAGTTCTGGGAATGGAGCTCAGGTCATTGGGCTTGGCAGGCACATTTACCTGCAGGTGCCCATGGAGGCTTCAAGAGGACATTAGATCTCCTTGACCTAATGTCACAAGTGGTTGTGAGCCTCCCAGTGTGAGTTTTAGGAAGTAAACCCAGGTCATCTGTAAGAGCATCAAGTTTTTAAATCGCTGAATCCTCTTTCTAGCCTCTCTAAAATTATGTTTAACACATGCTAAGTGTCATATCAAACATGGAATTAGTTATCTGTTTCAAGTATTTACTGCCTATCAGAAGACAAGACGAGAGAATGGATTAGGGAGAAACTGACGAATAGAGCATAGATGGGTGACTTTTTTGCTCAATGTCTTGGCAGATAAATAGTTAGAGGCTTTATCCTTTCAAGAAGCACACCAGACTCAAATAGTTTTCAGTCTAGTGCTGGCTCGCTACCTATTTCTTACCTCCCCTTTGGGCCCTTGTTTAATTGAGCTGACATGGGTCCTGTGCTTGATGCCACCACTGCCACAGGCTCGCATGAACAAGCCTCCTGTGGTCTGGAAGCCTCCACCTTCTTGTGTTTATGAACCAGCCCTGGCTCAGTCTTTGAGACTGACTGCTGCTGGATAGGCTGACTAGACTACAGTAGACACACTTACACTGAAGGACATTTGGGTACAAACACTTGAATGAATAGGTCTCAGCATGTATGGCAGAGTGTATAGGGTCCAGTGGGGGCATGGGGGAGGAATGGATGGAGGAAGGGATCTGGATTTGAGTGGAAATGTATAAAATTTTAAAAGCTCAATAAAAAGTTATCTATAAAAATTCAATTAGAACTTATATATTGTAAAATAAAAGTAGCGTAAATTAAAAATAAAAGAATTCCCAACCCAACGTAAGGAACTCTTGGCAATTGATGACTGAAGGGAAAGGGCTCAGATGATAGGCCCATACTGATGGACATTTGGGGCAAGAAGTTAGACTCTATAGGTTGATATATATATATATATAATTGGGTGGGGGGGGCATTGAGGGAATGTGAGGATAGGGGAAGGGACCTAAATACCATCAAAATATATTGTATGAAAATCAAAAAATCCAGTAAAAAATAAAATTAAAAACAAAGAAAGAAGAACCATACCAGAGTCTGGAGTGGGTGCATGCCTTTAATCCCAGCACTCAGGAGGCAAAGGCAGATGGATTTCTATGAGTTTGAGGCCAGACTGGTCTACAAAGTGATTTCCAGACCAGCTGTGTCTATAGGGAAACCTATCTCAAAAAGGCAAAAAAAAAAAATCATAGCAGAAGTTGCACACAATTTCAAGGACTTAGTTGTATCTAGCATACACTAAAATCCAGTAGAGTAATGTGAACTCTGGGTATCTATCTAAAGCAAATACCTGAATTTGGGTTTGAAATACTACTTCATAGTGAAAATATCCTCTGATATTTCCTGATATCCTATTTCTTTTGTTCCTTATTTTATAGAAGAATTCAGGGGCAAGAGGTAAAGACAGTAATAAATGACCAAAACTTAACATGGGCCCAGCTAGCGAGACAATATTCAGTATAAAAATATTTCTGAGTTCCTAATTATTACTTTTGTCAATTTATAGGAAAAAATAATCGTGGTTTGAATTGGCAGAAGACCTAATGGCACAGCGATTTCCCTTTATCCACAGGGTATACATTCCCAGACTCTCACTGGATGCCTGAAACCTGAAGAGTACCACACTCAATTTTATATATATATATATATATATATATAGTATTTTGATTATAGATTTACAAATCTATGGTAAAATTTACTTTATAGAGCTGAGGGTGTAGCTTAGTGGTACACCACTTGCCCATTATGTGAAAAGCCATGGGTTTAGTTCCTAGTATCACAAAACCCCTTAATTTATATATTAGAAGCAGTAAGAGCTTAACAACAATAACTAGTAATAAATGAATAATTATAAATATATGATAATAAAATTTATATGAATGCAATCTCTCTCCCTCTTAAGAGAGCCAAGAAAAAGTCATTTGGACAGAGGTTGACCATGAGTAAGTTAAGCTATAGAAAACTGAACCACAGTTATAGGAAAGCAACTGAATTTCTCTCTGGAAGGCAAGTCCATTCCTAATCCTTTGTTTGATTTACTCTGGGAATTTCAGAAAAAAAACTAGAAATGAGCCACACAATATTTAAGGAATGGAAGGTCAAAAAAGCTAGTGTAATAATATTTTGTGATTTTTGCTTTGTTGACATTTTAAAGATAAATGTTACACTGTTTTACTACATGAAAAATACATACACGTTAGATAAACTTTGGAAATTCATAAGCTAAAAATATGAGAGACTGAGTATTTTCCATATTTTTGTTCCCCAAAAGACAATACTAGTCCCACATTGATGCATTTTTTCCTAGACATAGGTTTTCTAACATATGATCACATAGCTATGATCATATTGAAACTTTAACTTGTGTTTCTGAAGATTACCTTATAAATTACAATAACTGAAGAAATGATCAGCATTAGTGTTCAAATATATGTTTTCTCTTTACTTCGAATGATAATAAGTTAGGTATTCTTAAGTTTTTTTTCCTTTAAAGCTGACAAATGATCTCACATGTCTCTTCTTTAGGAATAATTAGAAAATGCCCTTGTGCTTGTTTATATAAATATCTCAGTAGTTCATTCTGTGAGTTGACAACCAAGAGTATTTACTAACTGCAGGCTGATGAAGTCAAAGAAACAGAACTGCACAAATTACAAAAAAGAATAAAGAAACAACTGGTCCTCCTTTGATGCTGCCTAAAAGCTCATTGGGGAGAAAAGATCATACTGAAATTATTAAAACTTTTCCATAACAGATGCTCTAGAACAAATGAAGATTATCATACATAAATTATAGTTTGGAAAGAAATGGAATTTAAAAACAACTATTTTAAGTACACTCAAAATAAATTCTATTATAAACCATATTCTCATATGACGTGCGAAATAGCATAGTGTCCTGAAAGGATGTAATTAGTAAAACGTATCAATTAATTTTTTTATTATTCCCCCAGCTTAGATTCAGCCAGGCCTAAAGCTCGTTTTAACTTTGACCTGTCAGTGCCACAGCTTCCTTCCCTCATAGATAGAACATGAAGATACCAACCCTAGAGCCGAACAGATTTCCAGTACATTCTATTTAGCACGGCAAACAAATCCCCTAGAATTTGGTTTCCATTTTTATTACTTTTTTGATGACAAACTCACCGTGGGCGTGAACCGAAAGCCCTGCAATAATTTGCAGGGGAAGGAGCAGTGAGGCCTGCACAATTTTCATGTAGTTTCCAGTGTTGCCAGCAAAAATTGCAGCCTTGGCTTTCAGCACTGCAAGCTTTTCACTAATGGGGACTGAATAGGTCCGTTCACACGTTACCTCTGCAGCTGTGAATCACCTAGAAGTGCATCTTCAAATTCTTGAAGAGTTTCACTATATCACAAAATTGGTTGCAAATGCATATGCTATCTACACTTGAGCATCAGCAAGGGACACAAAACTACTCCCACATCAACAGGGGAGGAAGATCTTTAAAGCTACTGTTCTTTAAAAACTTCTAAGGAAAGGAGATGGCTCATGCTGGTTTGTCCTGAGGACTTTATGGTGAAATACAACGTTGGTGATGCAAAATTAATCCAAAGAAGCAAGTTAGCTATACACCTATATTTAGGGGATGGATTTGTTTCAATCTTTTTCAACAACTCAATTAGCCAGTGGTATGGTTTTAGACACAAAGCATCTACTTGCTCCATGCCTATTGAATGGCATTGCTAAACCTGAAACATGGTCACAATAAATGCATTTGCCTAATGGCAAATCTTACTCAGTCCAGCAGATCTTGTCCAGCAACTCCTTCATTGTCATGTGGTCCCACTCTTCTGCAAGGGGTGCCTTCCAGGGAGCATCACTGGGAATCTACATTTAGAGATTTAAAGAAAGACAAAGACAATTTTCCATTTTAAGTAACTATTCAAAAAGTATTAAAAACTCTAACTCAAAGAAAAAAAATGTGTTCCAATTTCCCTTGACAGTTTCCTGAATGGAATAAACCTTGCTGTCTATTTAAGTCTTCTGTTACATATCTATAGCACTCAATCCATATTTAATTAACAATACCTTCCTACATAAGTGGAGGAATGTTGTAATTTGGCTACTTCTAAATATGGATAACAGTGTTCTCCCCATTCCCTGAAGGACATGATCTAAAACCCAAAGTGGGTGCCTGAAAATACAGTCTAAATCCTGTGTATATATGATGCTTTTCTTATATAAAAATAACTAAAATGAAATTTAATTTCTAAATTAGGCACAGTGAGAGATTAAGAGTAATAAAGCAGAATAATAATATCAATATGCTATAATAAGCTACACAAATGGGGTCTGTTTCTTGAATTTTCTATTAGTATTTTGCAACTGCAGTTGGCCACAGATAATTGCAACCACAGAGCATGAAATCACAGATTAGGGGCCATAGGACTACTATAACATTAGCAAAATATGGAAACACAAATTAAACTCGTTAACTACTATCAGAGAGCTACACCAAATTATCTCTAAATTAGAATTTCTGGCCAAGCTTTACGTGTGTTTACTTATGGGCAGCAAGTTGGGCATGATGGAGAATAGGAGAACTAGGCATTTTCCTTACTCTTTGGTGCCCTTGAGATTTTCTAAATTAGAAACATCATTTCAAGAAGGTTCCATGGTTCATAAATTTTTGCTTGCTCATCAGTTGTATACAAACAATAGTCTGTTTGACATCTCATTCTTTTAGAAGTTAGAAACAAATTCATTCATTTCACTGAAATTTTGCAATTATTATTATGTGATGGACAATGTGCTATGCATGGGGAAATGAATGATACATTGCACCTTCTTTCTTTTAAGGACTAAACTTGTGAAAAATACAAATGCAGTCAAAGAAGTTTTAGGAAGCTTTACCTCTTCACCCATCTCGTCCATTGTTCTCCAGAGGTTGTTATGATCTAGGTAGGTAATTGGGTTCCACACAGGTGGGAATGGGCCCCTGAAGGGGTATGATTTGCCCTGTCAGATACATATATTTAAAAAGAAACAGTTATAATAACATAAATTAAATGTTGTTAAATATAAGTTGACAATTGTCTAAGAGCCAGATCATGTTAGCGATCACTATGTGACTTACGAATATGTAACATACACTCAAGTATTCTGGCACTTATGCTTACAGAATCCTATTCAACTATTTAGCATAGAGATTTCCAACAAAACATTCCTTTAAGTAGGTAAGTTTGCTACTATGCCAAGCACAATAAAGACGGCTCCCTATGAAATAGGAACCCTTACTATTTAAAATCTAAATGCCAATACAGAAATATAGTTACCAAAACAAATCTCATTTGTCAACAATACTTGCAAATATCTTAGGATCAGGAGCCCTTATATAGAGAGAGAATCAAAAAATACAACTATAAAAATGACGCAAGTTGGAAGGGATGGAAAATCATTCACAAGTATACAACTTTATGTAGGAAGAGTTACAAAACAGGGCCCATCAAACTTTTAAGAAGTGAGAAGTTTAGATCAATACAGGACTTCTCAGAGGTCAGGAAATCAAAGCAGAGAAATGAAACAACTCCAGGAATCTCATGCAGACATGTTGACAACAGCTAGTTCTCCCCACAGGAACACGTTGACATAGAGATCTAAAAGTACATCTCTTCAAACTATGAAAAATGAGACAGCACACAAATCACATCTGGGAGGCTTAACTTACTGATGGCAGATAAAGGATACAAACAAAACTCACTTTGGGTCCATTTAGAAACCTGTGTCAGAAGTCAGGCTGTACAATAAGACAGCATCTTTCAACTGAATCAGAATAATTTAAGGTTCTTAGTCAACCAAAACCTCACAGTAACTCTGAGTAACTCAGCAATTATTCACCTTGTATTGATTTTGTAGGTAGCACAACTAGCGTAGCAAAGGAAGAGATTTCATGCTCATTCTTGTATTAACTCTGGGGCCATACTGGTTTTTCACCCACATGCCATTATATTCTCAAGGAAGAGTCCTTAATGAAGGAGGGAGGGAGGGAGGGAGGGAGAGAGTGCTCATGTGATGAGAAGGCTGACAAAGCCAGCTGGGTAGGCCAGGCACTGAGGAAAGTGATATGATTCAGGTTCAAAGACAGTAAACTCGAAGAATCCCCATTCTGCAATGAAAAATTATTTTAAATTTCACAAGGAAACACATTACTATCTTCTACATAAATTTATACACAATCTTCAGTGTTTTGCATCTAAACAGACAAGGACTTAGCTAAATTCATAAAAGCAAGTATTCTTTTATAAGATGAGCAAAAGTTTCTGAGAAATACAGGAAGGAGCTATTGTTAGATTAATAAAAAAAATCTCAATTCTTCAAGTTTCTGGGAATAAGCAGGGAAGGGAGGAAACAGCTCAGTTTATAAGATTATAAAACCAAAGGTGCTGCAATGTTTGGACTTCAGATTTGGCCATGGTAGAAAGAGGCCTGTGATTGTTACTGTTTTGAACATTGTCCAGGGAGGCCTTCTGAAGAAATCATGGAAAGACATCACTCTAAGCCCCCAACTCAGGAAGTGCCAACTTACAAACTCTAATTCCATATAATGTTTTGTTTTATCCTTAAAATAGCCATTTGAGGGAGCAAAGTAGAATTTTTTTCTTCTTTTATAAATAAAGAAAATAAAGCTCAGGTAAGCTGAAATGACTATTTTAAAATACCGCAACTCACACATGGAAGTTACTCGAACTTCAGTTTATTGTATAGTAGCTGTGTAGGTCAAAAGTGTGTAGGTTTGTGACTCATGTGTACCAATGTGCACACTAATGTATGAGGAGTATGGAGAGTGTCTGGCAAGCATCAGAAAATATTCATTAACCAATGTACATACATATATATGTATATATATGCATACGATTAATAAAAACCACTATGTTCAAAACTGAATAAGTATTAGCACTAAGCACTATAACATAAGGATGTCACCTTAGGGACTGGGGGATTTGAGAGCAAGGTACATTGTCTTCTGGGCTCCCCAGAGAGAACAGTGAAGTAGGCCTAGGGGCAGATAGATGATTAGAGTTCAAAATAGCCGAAAGCTTGACACTTCGAAGAGGGTGGGAGCTTGTGACAGTGCAGGACAAGGCTGATGAGCAAAAGTTAGTAGCTGTCCTTGATGTAAATGTCACATAGAGTTTGTGTGTGTGTGTGTGTGTGTGTGTGTATGTATGTATGCATGTATGTGTCCTATTCATTGTAAAAATTCTAATTGACAAAGAAAAGTGTAAAAACTAAATATTTAAGACTGCAGGGTATAGCTCAGTGGTAGAAGACTTGCCTAGCATGTACTGGGTTTGATTCTCAGAACTGCAAGAGGTAAAAAAATTTAAAAACAGTAATCATTTATAATTTAATCAAGCAAAACTGCATCCTGGTTATTAACACTTCATTATGTTTCTTTCATCCTTTTATTCATTTGTACATTTGATGGTTGAGGTCCTGGTATCTAAGCAATTTTATATCCTAAATTTGTCCTGTGCTATTTATTAAGCCTTATTAATCATGCATTTCTTGATTATTACAGAATATTTCATGATATGTAAAGACTAACCATTGTCAAACTGGAGTTAAAGTATCCCTCATGATTCCTGAAAAGGTCAGGATATTTGGAAGTCTCCCTTTTCCAATCATATATCAATGTGAGGGAAAGTGTCTTCATATATTTCAAGCAAAACAATGTATTTGTATAAATTAAATGTCAGTAAGAATATGAGAATCCAACTATCTTCTATGGAGCTAGATGTGAACGAGATAAGAAAAAAAACATAAATAAATGCCATTCTTTCTTTTCTGCCCATTTTAGAAACTAGTTTTTCCATATAATATGCTAATTTGCAGTACAGTTATGGTTACTTTCAGTGGATTAATAAGTATTTTAAAGATCCTCAGTTTCAATTACTAATATGAAAATTACAGATAGAGCCAAAAACAAAAGCCATTTGAGATTCCCAATAGTTTTAAGAATATAAATGCTGGATATGTTAACCAGGGTCCAGTGGGTGTACCTACACCAAAGGACATTTAGCACATAAATTTGACTTGATAGGCCTTAAACTATAACAGAGTACATTAAATTGGGCAGGGGTTATTAAGGAGGAGGTGCAGATAGGGAAGGGGGTCTAATTATCAAAATATACTGTATGCAATTGGCAAAAATTCAATTATTAAAGAATATAAAATTGTGTGAAGTGTTGGAATAGACCCTCATGAGAAGAGATAAAAATGGCTTTTAAGACCCCAACAGAGCAGATTGAAATTGGCGCTTAAAGGACTGGAGAGATGGCTCATCAGTTAAGAGCACTGGCCGCTCTTGCAGAGGACCTGTGTTCGGTTCCCAGCACCCACATGGTGGCTAACAACCATCTTTAACTCCAGTTCCAGGGGATCAGATGCCTTCTTCTGACCTCCACAGGCATTGCACAACACAGGTGCACTTTCATATATGCAAGCAATAAACTCACACATAAAAAATAAAAATAAATAGTCCAAAAAATGGCTCTGAAATATGATAGCTGTATGATTATAGTTAAATTGATCAACATTTGCAAGGCTCACTTCTCTTTTTATGCATTTATTTATTCATTTTTGTTTGTTTGTCTCTTTCTCTTGTGGGATTTGGGCTGGGGACTGGAATGCCAGGCTCCAAGAACACTCTTCAGGTGCTATACCACTGAGCCACACCCCAATGCCTATGCTCTTACCTTTACAATCAGAATTATGATATACATCTTACAAGTACAGAAATGAACTGAAGTTGTATACAGCACATAGGACACACACACTAAGTGGATGTTGACTGAGGAGTTCGTGAGCATGATAAGGAATTATTGCTTATGCAACCACACTTTGCACATAAATCCATGTCCATATTCTTTAATCTCCTTTGGATAAATTCCAAGAGTCTGATTCCTGGCCTAAACACTTAGATTCAACTTTTAAAGCAAACTTGCTGAAAACCAGAAGACAAATTGATCTTCATTGGCCTTTATTTTGGAACCCTTAAGAATGGGTCCAGGCTCAGTAAAACCATCTGAACTCTGTCTGCCCTCCAGAATCTTCACTTAATAGAAACAGGCTGGCTTGCTGACATAGATATCAGTAGTGTCCATGCCAATGCTCAAATGTTGTGCTCTTCTGACCAAGACTAAGACTTCACACCCCAATTTTTATCACTCTCCTGTTCCTGATGCTGGCTCCAATCCCTGCCAGAAGAAACAGGTGGCTTAGTCATTCTTAGATACAGATCCTGAGGAGTGACCTTTTTTCTCTCAGAATGTTACCTTTGATGTTCTTGGGAACCTTGCCTTCCTGGTCATAGGGACCTAGAGTAGGCCACCTGCTCCTCTATGACCTGATCACTTTTATATCTAACAACTAGGGCTAAACTTGGGCCCTATATTCATTTGGAGGACCAAGTTTTCCTTTTGATCTATATAGTTCCAGGTTGAGAGAGGAGAAATGTCATCTTTCCCATGGTGTAAGAAAGAGGAAGACCTGCAAACTACACTTGGACAAATGCTGTTCTGCCTCTGTTAGCATGCTGGCTCTATGGCTCACATTCATATTTATAAACTCCCATCAAAATTGTCTTCTGATGATACCAACAAATAGAGGCAGTTGTGGTTTTGAAATCTGTCAGCAGCAATCCAACATAAGAAAAGCCTGACACTAATCAAGTAAAGAGAAACTGGGAAGATGTGGTGCATAAAGCAGGCCAGGTGCTGCAGGAATACGAGTAATAATCATGACAACAGTTAACACAGGGATTCCTGTGCACAGGCCTCTTGGGTGCACTTTCCACAAGTTCTGTGTACTTCACAATGACCCTAGAAGATAGGCATGAGATTTTCCTTTTCAAATTGAGAGACTAAGGCAGCAAACGATGAAATAATTGCTGAAGTTTTCACAAGTTAAGTGGGAGCAAGGTTTTATTTCATTTTTTGGAAATGTCATAAATGAGT